ATCTACGGGCATGCAAGGTGGAATATTTTGTTGACTTTTGATCCAGTCTATTAAAATTTTATTAGTCAACTGTAAGTAAACATCTCTTTGACAATTATCAGCACCTTTCAAAGTATATGAGGGACTAAATCTGATGAAAGTGTTAGCATACATGATGGATCCTTTTCTAAAATAAAAAAGATGAGGCACAGTGGTTAAGCTTGCATGTTCCACTTCGGCAGCCCAGGGTTCTCTGGTTTGGATCCCAGGGGCAGACCTATGCACCACTTGGCAAGCCATGCTGTGGCAGGTGTTCCCACATATAAAGTAGAGGAAGATGGGCATAGATGATAGCTCAGGGCCAGTCTTCCTCAGCAAAAAAGAGAAGGATTGGCAGCAAATGTTAGCTCAGGGCTAATCTTCCTCAAAAAAAAAATTAAATTAAATTAAAAAGATGAGTTGACATTTTCTCAGAAATACATATTTTCTCCATAGCCTTGATGTCTATAATCCAAGGAGCTGCAACAAGATACTCACCAGGCACAGTACTTGTGACCCAGCAATATCTGAATAATTTCCTCACAGTAGAAGTATTAACAATAGTGAAAAATAAAATTAGAAAATACATGAAGGTCCAATCTGGATGGGTGAAACAAATAACGCTACTGCCATACAACGTCACCCAGCCTTTACACACGATGATGTCACTCTGCATCCATCAAATAGAGAGATGCTCATAGAAATTGTTCAGTGAAATCAGAAGGTAGCAAAATATCATGCGGAATATCACTAACATAATGGAAGCTGAGGTTGCAGTAGGGTCAGGGAGGGCAGAAGTATTGATTGCCTAGCAGAGGGTCTCTCTGAAATGGGCAGTTGAGAGCCACTTCAGTTGAACTATAGCAAAGTGCTGATATCTTTCAGCACTTTTGTGCTTCTAATGTATCATGATTAAAACATGACAATTTCTAGACTGTAACATACCAAGTAGAACTAAGATTTATATTGGGTAGTTTAAGTAGCTCACTTTATATAATTTTGGAAGTTCAACTAAGTTTCTGACAGCAACAGCTTCCCTATCTCCCCTAGGAAATTAGGGAGCTCATCCCCTGCCGCCCAACCAATCCTATTCTAATACCTGATAGTGTTCCCAGGTGCAGATGCTCACTCCCTTCTAGGAGAGGCTCCAGAATATCTACATTGGAGGAAATTAAGGGAAACATTCTGGCTGGAAATGAGAACTAGGACACTTGGCTTGAAGTCAATGCACACAGCAAGGGTAATGTTTTGACCTGGGTAGTTTAGTGGTTAGGAGCACCAACTGACTGCCTGTATTCATTTCCTAACTCCACCATTTAGTGGCTGTATCGTGTTGGCAAATTGCTTAACTTTCTATGCCTAGCTTTTCCCATTTTTGGAAATGCATTAACAACACTACATTCCTAAAAAGGTTGCTGTGAGGGGTACGCAGGTCAATATCTGCAAAGTGTCTAAAAAAGTGCTTGGTACATGGTAAATGCCACATACATGTTCACTGTCAGTAATATTTACTTGGCTTGCATGTTGTAAAATTGTATGTTTTAAAATGTTATATATGATATATGTATATACAAACAATGAAAAATATGAAAAAGAAAGGATTGAGGATGATTATCAGAGAAGTAAGCACTGAAAGTCCTTTCAAGCACCCCTTGACGTCACACCATTTCTCTCTCTGTGTATAGATATAGGACCCTGTTGCAACTCTGTGCTGCCTTATGTCTCCTATTAATTATCTCTGCTACCAGCAACAGTTCTTTCCCTCAGAGCATAGCCTGGACCCTGTCACCTGTTCATGGATGCCTGCAATTGATTCTGTACATCCTTTTGTCTCTATCTCAACCAGCATCAACTCAATCATGGGCTCCCTCATAATTATTTACAAAACAGGAAGATTCATGAAACATCTGCTGTATGTCACCATGTGACTCTAACGATCAATTCTCACTCCTCATTATCTGACTGACAGTGCATAGTTTCCCAGAAACTTGAATGTTTTCTAGATCGTATTTCTTTTGAGATTCTGCATAAAAGGGCCAAATTATTTTCTATTTTTTCCAAGTGTCATATAAAAAGATAACTTTCTATGCTGGGTGTTTAAAAGCTGGGAGTATTCCTTGGATAGTTACAAATATGAATGTAAGCATCTTAACCTACATTTTCTAAATTCCTAGGTTGCATGTGGAGATCATAGTAAGGCACCCTTGCCCCCATTAAGCCTCAGAGTTAAACCAATACATGGATATGGTCAGATATATACAACATCATGGCAGGAAGACCAAACTGTTTACAGATTGAAGTAGGTTTTGACTATAAAATCAGTGCTAACATTAATGAGGAAGCCAAGCCAAGGAGAGCCTGGCAAAGGTGGAACTCAGAAGAATCATAGAAACAAACACCAAGTGTCACTCTAACTCCTACGCATAAAGAAGCTGCCCTGAGAAGCAGATGGGGGTGTCTGGCAGACACTTCCCTTATTGATAGGTATATCCTGCCAGGTGTAGCTTACCCTGCCTGATTCCTTTGAACACTAGAAGCATACAATTCTCCTTGCTATGGTTATGCAACAGCAGCCAAACTTCTGATTTAGATTCCCATGTAGTTTTCTCTAACAGTTAGAGAATACACTGGTTAGGCCAAATCAAGCATCCCGTGCACTTAAAAGTTACATACCTTATTTTAAGTAAGTAGTCTGTCACCCTGTGTATTTTCCAGTGTCAGTATTTTCACGTCTTAGTTTCTGGATTTCAAAGCAGATAGCCAGACCCTAGACTACCATAATTTCACTAAATTAATGTAACTCTGTGAGAGATTCCCATAAAGAACTGATAAGTTACTATGCGTCTCTATTAAAATATTTATAAGATAATGTTTCCCAAATTATAGATTAGAAATGTTAGGGAATATAGGAAAATTACAAAAGTTAATGTGAAAAAAGAAGGTTAACAATTTCTAAACTTGGAGTAAGTGAAATAAATCAGTGACTTGTTCTGCATATTTTAGATTTCTGTCCTATACTCTTTCCTTGCCAGCACGTGGGGAGCTCAAATTCGAAGAGGGAGAATTGAGACGCCAAACTTCACACAGCTGTATGACAGAGTAACACTGGCAAAACAAATTTAAGAGCCTCCTTATAGAAATCTTATGTGGATCCTAAGTTGTAGCCTGAATTAAGAGTACTACTGAATGAAAATATCCAAGAATTATTTCTGTAAAATTTGAACCTTCGACATGGAGAGAATTCTAACAAATTTCAGATATATGAATTCTATAAGATATCCACACAATTTTAAATTTTCTTTTAGAAGGAAAACACTAATTTGCTATTGAATTATATGCTTTATATTTTTTCACTCATTTACACAGCACTAAATTCTAAGAGCTGCCCTGGACAGTTGGGCTGGAACCAGAAGATGCAGTCCTTCTCTTTGTGGAGTTCGCTGTGTTTTGGAAGGCCCTTAAGCAAATCATTACATCACATCAAGGCAGATGTTAATTGAGCTACACACGAAGGACAGGCTCCAGTGTTAGTGCTGTCCTGACTCTGTGAACCAGGTCAGATGACACCCTATTTTGAGATATAAGAATCATACGTGTGTCTTATCTCCCTCTCCCGTCTTCTTCACCTCCCCACCACCACCACCCCCGCCCTCGCCCACGCTTTCTTCTCCTTCCCCGTTCCCTGCCTTCCTCCTTCTCTTTCTTTTTCTTTGGCATGCAGCCTGTTTTTGAGGATTCACCTCCAACAGACTTGTTTTCCAGGGGTATAATTCCTTTAAATAAATGTGTACTTAATATCTCCCAGGAGTTCAAAGGGGTTCAAAAATTCTACAGAAATTGTTTAGCTTCTTTTATTTTAATAATTTGATTTTAACAATATAAAAGAAAATATTTGGCAGTAATAATTCCCAATTTAAATACTTTTTCATTTATTTTTACAAAATATATTTTAGCTTCTTTAATTCACTTCTTTTTCAAACTAAGATCCTCAGCACCCAGTAGCAATCCAAGGCATATTCTAGGGAGTCCATAAAAACAGGTCCTTTAGAAATACTACTCTAAATCTAAACAAATAATCCTTCCCATCCTTCATGCTAAAGAAATTGCTTACTTAACTAAAAGTAAATTCATGGAGTTAAACAGTAGAAACTAGTCTTTAATCTGATGAGATCTATATTTCCAGCACAAATTGAAGACAAGGATGAGATGGGCTTTTAAGGAAGCAGAAAAGATTATCAGGTTTTTCTTACATTCACATATTGAATACTATGAATTTGTATAATATTGCTTATTTGGCTCTTTATATATTAAAAAAAATCCAAAGTTCAATAAAATGGCTTCAAATTCATCCCTGTTAGTATAGCTTTTCATTGCCATAGAAAAGTTGTTGAGTAGTTGCCAGAAAAATATCTCCATACTTCTTTTTTAAAATCACAAACAGCTTTTAAGCACAAACTGTATGTCAAAGAGTATTCAGAATGCCAGCTAACTAGAGATACGAATCTATAAAGGAATTTTCTCTTCTATATTTGAGTTCTATTCAGTTTAATTTGGGTAGAGCTTTTGCAATAGGAAGTGTGAAGAAAAGCACTGATGAGAAAATATCTATCCCCCGCTTACAGCCACCCTGACCGCTGGTTGGTCCTGTATCTGGGAACAGGACAGTGGAGAGGAACAGCGAAAGGATATTTCATTCCTACTCCTCTCCCCCCAGGAAGTGCTGTCAAGAAAGGCACTGGATGTCACTGGGAATCAGCAGGAGGCTTGAACCCTTCCCAAAGTCCCCAGATCCCATCGTGCTGAAAGTCTCAACCTTTTAATTCTAGGTTGCTTTCCTCACCCTAACATAGGACAACAATCTCTGGAAATAAGATCTTTAAGGTTCTCTCTCTGCTCCAGTTCTGACAGGACAATTTACTCACGAAATACTGTGTCATGATACACATACACTTGCATTTAAGGTTAGAAAGTAATTCACTTACCATGATAAATTAGATACAGACATTGCAGCAATTTATGGAGGAGTCTTGTGGAGCAGTCGTCTCTTGATTTCAGAGTGGGGAATGAGTAGGTCAAGTAGCCAAGATCACTGGGAGTTTCAGCTTTGCTACTGGAATGATGCACAAACCACTTAGTTACTCACAGTTTGAGAAGACCTATAAAGAAAAGGAAGAAAGTGATATCTATAGCACCTGGTCTGTATGATTTTTCACAGATTTTATTCCATCCAGGTCAATAGTTTTGTCATGGTATAACAAACAAAAAGAAAATATAAATGTTTTCAAAATATAAGACATGCCATAAACCAAAGATAAAATTGAACCAACCCTATGATAAACTGAATGCTTTACCTTTAAAATCAATTGAAAGGTTAATAAAATGTTCATTCCCTGAACTAATGAATACAAGGAAAGAACAGAATGTGTTTTCAGAGGCAGCAAACTTTTTCTCCATACAGTCAATCATTATTGCTTTCTAAATCAGTTTTACACACTTGTGATAAAAGGATCAGAACAAAGATCTTGATTAGCCAGTAGCAGATACTAAAAAAAAAGTCCCTTGACACAAATTGTTATCATGTCCAAAGCTTTAACAAAAAATCATTCACTACCACATCTGACTGAATAAGAATTTATAATGAGTAACATGTGGGAGGTAAGCAATGTGTATTCACATAACAAACATTTTCACCCACTTCTTTTTGAGCATCTACTGTGCAGTGTCCTATGATCCTGAACTAAAATTTTCTTAGGGTACAATTAATTCCATGGTATACGTTAGGCATTTTAATTAGTTCAGGTCATCAATCCATTACTGTTCAATTAAACAAACATTTATTGAGCATATACTATGTACACCTACGCTGTCCAAGATAGAGCTCAGGGATGAAGATGAATGACACATGAATGAGACATTGTTCCTGCCCTCAAAGAAAGCTTTATGTAAAAAAAGATAATTGTAATGAAATAGGGTAAGTGCTCTAATAAAGGTTTATACAGTATATGAGAGCATAGAAGAGGGGCTGCCAGCCGAGCCTTAGGGATAAGGGAAGGATTCTAAAGAACATAGATCCCAAACTGCTACCATGAGGTTTGGCTGCAAGTTTCAAAAAAAATCCAAAATCAAAGTAGCTTAGAAAAGACAGAGTTTATTCCTCTCTCATATAAATGAATCTTGAGTCTGAAGAAGTCCAAGGGAGGACATGGCAACTACATGGACACTAGGGATGGAGGCTCCTTTCTTGTCCTTCTGCCATTCTCAACATGTGGTTCCCCTTCATGTTGCTGAGCTCCGGTAAGTGTGTCTACATTCCATCCAGCATAGAGAAGAAAGAGGGAAAGAAGGATGCTTCCTAAAATTTGCACATTTCCACTTGCATTTCATTGGCCAGAGTTTACTCATTAGAGCACTCTTATCTAAGGAAGACTGGAAAATGCAGCCTTTATTCTAGGCAGCCATATGCCCAACTACAAACCAAGGTGCCCATTAGAAAGGAAGGGGTCAAAGTGGGTACTGGGAGAAAACTAGAATCGTCTCCCATAATGTTTGAGACTTGGTGACCTATACCCCCAATATTTTATGATTCTGTACCTACTGCAAAGTGGCAAACATGGAGCAGAAGGGAGGTGGAATCAGTCCATTGTTTGTTGGTAATTTTACATATTTGATATATAATTTTAAACACCAAACTTCTTCAGTTTTCTTAAATCATTCAAAGAATCAATATTTTTTGTGGCCTACTATTTCCCAGGCTCTAACTAAGTACTAAGGACACAAAGACTAATAAAATATAGTCTTTGCAAATAGTAAGAATTCACTGTCTAACACAGATGCCATCATGTAAGAAATAAAAGAAGCTAAAATGCACTCTGAAAATTGCTGTGTATGTACAAAAGCATGAGTAGCAATAGGGGGGAATCGAGAAAGAACCGTAATTCTAATGGATTCTCATTTTAATAGACCCTGACTGCCACTGGAGTGAGTGGCTAGCAGGTCTATATCCTAAATTGTTTCCTTACATTCCAGAGGATTTCAAGTCCACTGTGCCCTTGGTTAACTGTTAAAGCAGAAGGACTTACATCTATTAAAGACATAGGAACTCCAAATTCTACTCCCAGAACTGGTAACTTCAAATTCTCAAAATCTGTATTAGCAGATTCTTATCAAGAGTTGTAACAAAAAAAATACATTCTTTACATATTTCATATATAGAAATATATATTAAATATATATGTAATATTTAATATATATGTAATATTTAATATATAAACATGTTTATAGGTAAATATGTAAATTGTAAGTACATATACATATATATGTAAACTATATGTTATGCATGTAATATGTAATATATATGTAATATTGTCTGACATAATTCATTCTTCTAAATACAGTTAAGTGCCACATCAGGACATTTTGGTCAAAGCATATATGACAGTGGTCCCATAAGATTAATACCGTATAGCCTAGGTATGTAGTAGGCTTTTCCAACTAGGTTTGTGTAAGTACACTTTATGATGTTTGCACAATGATGAAATTGCCTAACAACGCATTTCGCAGAACATATCCCCATCATCAAGCTACACATGACTGTATTCTTAATTCTATCTTTAAAGAGTTGCGTATCTGGACGTCACTATTTTAATACTTAACCAAATTACTTTTACTGAATTATACTTTAGGGTTTTGCCAAGAGTTTTCATTGAGGGACATCATTAAAGAAAATAATAAATAAACAAGCAAAAACCAGACTGTGAAACTATTAGGTTTACTGGAATATTTGCCAATACAAAAATGTTGCCCTGATGAGCATTCAAAGGAAAAATGTGACAGCTTTCTACACGAAGAAAACTATAATTCTAAATTTCTGAATTGCTTTAGTCCTAGGGGGAACATTATTGCAACTTATTATGTTTCTTTCCTTGCTTTAACTTACGGGAAGCTCTGAAACAAATTTGTGACATTTCTTTAAGAACTATTCAAGACCCTGAGGTCTGCATTTTCATGCTTTTTCCTTTTCTACCAACTTTAATTTTTAAGCTGTTTTTGATAAACACACACACCTATACAAACAAATGCACACATACACACACTATATGTATGTAAATACTTATAAAAAACTCCCTAAGTACTTTTTACAGTAAGAAAGGGTATAATTAAAGACCACAATTCCAGATTTGTTTGCTTTCTGCATAATGTAAAACTAATATGTAAAAAATTTGATCCCAGGCTCTTAGAATGATGAAACTGTTGCCATACGAAGCTCTTGCTTTTGTAGGTCAAAAATGGTTAAATATTGTCAATGTATACAGTACCATTTAATATAAGTGAAGAATTGACCAAGATGGCCACTTCCGGACTCTGGGCCCCTGACCTCACTTTGCTTAGAGCATTTACTTTAGAAAACTTGAAATTATAAATTCTTTCTCTGCCCCATAAAGCTATAGCTTCTATCAGCCTCTTGCTAGTTTTACAATGCAGGAATATCTTTCTTCGGGACCTGAGAGCCACCCATGTGAAATGTAACCATCAAAGGAAACAGCACCCTATCTCCTAGCCTCTGGGAGAGTAGGAGCCTAACTGCCATAAGTGCCAATTAGCAAACACAGATGGCCTAATCACAGTGACCAATCTCCTCCCTAACACCCTCCAATACTTTTCTACTAGCTCACCCCAGCATTTAAAAACCCTCCCACTTTTTGTTTCAGCAGATTTGAGGTCAGCCTCTCTCCTCTATGGCAATAGTCTTGAATAAAGTCTTCCTTGCCTGTCAAACTCTGTCCAGAGCAATTTTTCTTTGAGCAGGTATTTTCTTCAGTCCTTAAAGTTCATGAAAATTTCCTAAGATCCTGGCAATGTTGTTAAAAAAATGCAATCTTTTCTCAATGTCGTTTACCTGCAATAATTACCAACTTGGATTCTGATAAGCTTATATTAAATGTTGATTTGTAAAATAAAATAAACATTAGAAAACTGCCTCTTTCTGATCTTAAACCTAGATGTTTATAAGAATAAAATATTGAACAAAAAAAATTCATAGTGACCACTCATAACGATTACAACAATCACTCTGACATTCATTTTGGTATTATACCATCTTTTGTTTTTATTTACATCTTATAACTATCTGACTTACTTCTTCAAAGATATGCACCCATGAGGCACTCAAAAAAGTTGAGTTGAATAACATAAAAAAGTCTGTTATGTTTGCGTTTTTATGACATGATGTTTTTCAAAGGCCTTGGTAGTGGGCTTGTTATTCCTTTAATTGACATTTAAATGATTCATTGTTTGTCAATGCAACCTTTCCAGAGAAAACATCCCTAAAATATTTAGGCAAGTTTAAATTTTCTGTTGATTTTGATGATTCACAATCTTTATACAAATCCCAACATCAGTCTCCACACTTAAGTATGAATTTGTAGCTTTTAGCCAAAATTCTAAGATTACTAAGAGCCACCACCTGCCTCTTTGTCACAAGAGAAAGAGAGTATATCATCATATTAAGAGTATCTTTTCAAAACGTATGAAGTGATTTGACTTCCCCTGGATGCCCAGCCGGATTGTAAGTTATTAGCATAGGGCACACCTGTTCTCTTTAGGGCTTGCTTTTTAGCACAATTCACATTATTAAATTCACATGTGAATTTAATAATGTGAATTTAATACAAGACCTCTCATTTTACATATTTATTTAAAAATATGAATAGCTTTTGAAACAACAATAGATTATTGGAATTTACTTTACAAAAATAATTATTTTAATGATTTCATTCATGAATAAGATTCTGGGCTTCAAATTCAGCTGAAAGGAATATTATATTCTAATACATTCATTTAGCTGTAATTACTTCGCCATTTAGATATATAACATAAAAGAACTTCTGTAAAGTGATTTTATTTAAGCAAAAGAAGCATTTTCATAACATAGTCCCAAGAATACAGAGATGATTTTATATCTTTAAGATAAAATTCCATGAATATCAGTTTAAGTAACCTGCCATATAATAAATCTATGTTTTTATAAATCCATACTTAAGACAGAGAACCTATAAAAAATTACTTGCAAGAAGAATAAATATGATTAAACATTTTGACCACAAGCATGATTGAGTATACATAAGTCAATTGCATTGCTTTGCCTAAAGAAAAGAGA